GACAACCTCCATTAAAAAGAGGACACCAAGCCCGTCTCTCTGTCCTTGACTTCCCGATATATTTTTGGGCCCTGATGAGAGACAACAGTCAAACAACTAAAGATGGGAAACTGATGCTGGAGAATTTATTTTTCCTGCGTATCCATGTTCTTCCCTCTTGTTACACGGGGCGGCGTTATAGTTCCCTGTGATTTAACAGTGTGTCACACGGGTGATAAACGCCACGTCCTGTATTATTAACTTGGATTTATAGCTGCATACAAAGTGTGTATATTTGAGCTGACCTTTTGTTTCCAATTTTTATTTTTATTCCTTCTATCCCACATTGGGTTTTTCCCGAATCCCCTCGATGAGTCTTTGGGCGGCCGGATTAAAGCAGTTACTCACTTGTCCCTTGTACGGGTACGACGCGTCCGAGTCGATGCCCTGGTTGTCGTGGACGTACTCGAAGGCTTTGTCCATGAAGCCGCCGTTGCAGCCGTGGTTTCCGTACTTTCCGGAACAGTCCACCAGGTTTTGGGGGCTGAGGTCCACCAGCTTCCCGGTCTTCTTGGCCAACTGGCCCTCCAGGGCCCCGACGGCACTGAAGGCCCAGCAGGAGCCGCAAGGACCCTGGATTCAAAGGAGGGCGGGTTACTGTGGTGCTGTTCACACGCTGACATTTCATTTCCTTCTCTATTATTGCACAAGTTACAGCTGAAACGCTTCACATTTCCATGTTTGGCAACACAACACCAGTTTGTAAAAGACGCAGCCAGCAGAGTTTAAGAGGTTAAAGAACCGACTCTGAGAAATGTCCTGTTGATTTATTATATTTTACATGTTGCACAAACAGGATGAATTGCAAAATGAATACTTCAGTACATCATTCTAATTCAACTTTTTTTTTAAATACCTCACTTCTTATTTTTGACGTTTCACATCAGGATCTGAAGTTACTAATTGACACTAAAGCTTTGTGAAATAACAATTGGCCTCATCACGTAAGTGTTATTCATATACTTGAGTTATAAGTAGATAAATAAAAAGTATTATACCTTTAGTGGTTCTTAAATCCTACTTTTGGCAGATTACACACAATTACTGATCAGATTAAATATCATTAAAAACTGAAAAGAATTTCAAAATACATTTGAAATGTCCCCAAAAAAAAAAAAAGAATTCTGAGAATACGCCTTCGCCAACTTCTAAATGTCACCCTTTTTCTTTCAAAATTAGAATACAAATGATTGAGTTCTTGTGGAAAGTCTCACAGTGACAAACAGACGCCCAAAAAGAGACGCAAAATGAGTACAAAGACACACATGACCCAAAAGAGACACAAACGAACAACAAAATAAGTTAAATAGCCGTGTCAGCAGTGCACATGGCTGCACGTTGAAGTGGACTTTGTGGTGATAATTCACGTCCGTGACGTCACCGTCTTCTGCGCCTCCATGAAGCCAAAGTGGCGAAAGAACCTTTACAAAGGTGGAGGCCGTCGCGCGACGAATCAACACAATCATCCTCTGTTTTAAGCAACGGCGCCGGTTTGATCCCGCCGACGGTCCTCGATGGGAATCCGGCTTTTCTTTACCTGCATCTTGACGCTGGTGACGCAGCCCTTCTGTCTCCAGTCCAGCGCCTCGGGTACGTCGGCGCCGGACGCCCCAGCGAAGGCGGATGGTGCCCTCTGGATGTCGGTGGGGGGACTGAGTGTTGCGTAAGACTGCAGGACCTCCTCTGGCGTCTGTGAGGACGGAGGTAAGAGCAGCGCTGGGATCAGTTCATGAAAAGATTTTTTATCCAGATTGGACAGAAATTCATCATCTAACGGCATGATTATTATACTATTTAAATCTCCATGCTTGGCGTTTTTGTTATAATTAATTATATGTGGCGTTATAATGATACCTATGCTTAATATTATTAGATACCAATATTGATAGAACCTATAATAACCGTAATAATAATCTAATAGTTATTATTAGTAGTGGATTTATCATTGTTGTCAGTTAGGGTTATAATATCCGAATTTTGAGTTAAGGACTTTGAAGATGCTTCCAAAGTTTCATTTGAAACATTCATGACTTTATATTTACGTGAATTGTCTTGTGAGTTTATGATTTCAAATCTGAAAAAGTTTTTTCTTGCAATATGACCCCTATTTATTTATTAATTTCATCAACAACCAACAATGATCCTAATACTTACTTCAAGTTTGTGCTTATTTATTAGCTGACTCAGAGCCTTTGGGCCCTACTGGGGGCCCAGTGGTCTGGTATTCATATGCATATAGAGCAGCAGCATATTTACTTTCAAACATAAAAATGTATTCAGAACTACACTTCACTATAACGATTAAGTTTTATGCTTGGAAGTCCAAACTAGTCACACCTTATCTCTGTCTGACCTTCCGCTAAACGCTGCATGAATAATAAATGTACTCGTTAATCATAAACCGATATAAAGTCATAAACATCCCCCCCCCCCTGCCTGCAGGATGAAACAGGAGAGCGAGAGTGTCTCACCAGGTCGCCCATGAAGTTCATGCTCAGGTCGTAGGTGTGGAGCCCCATGGAGGCCTCCAGGTTGTGCAGGCTAATGAGCCTCAGGTTCCTCTCCCACAATTCCCTGCGGCGGACGTCCTCCCCCTCAACACAAGAGCGCGGGTGCAACGGGTCAAATATCGTTTAAGTTAACCATACGTCTCACGTATGGATTTGCGGCTCTAAATAGATTCAGATCCCCCCCCCCCCCCGCCCCACTCCCACTTTTTTATTTTAACTGCTCACCTGGTTTTGGTACTTTTTCTCGTGCGTCTTCTTCCACAGCTCCCAGTGGACGTCCAGCTGGCTGTCGAACATGGCCGCCGCCCCGACGCACAGCGAGACGAGCAGCAGGCTCCCCAACATCAGGCCTGTCAAACGCACACACACACAGGGGGCCGCGTGAGAGGTCGCGTGAGGGGGGGGTCACATGACGTCTAACCTGCGTGCAGTAGAGAAGAACCGAACCTCCGGGCAGCGGTCGGGCTGAAACGCAGTCATGAAAACCACACACGAACGTGCCGGAGGACGCGATGCTCTCGAGAGTTTCCATCGAACGCAAAGGTCATAAGATGGAAACTACGAACTGTGCTTGAAGGCCGGCTCTAAAGTCTTTTTTGTTTTTACTGAATGACATCAGAATATATTTTTGTATCCCTCCTCAACTCCTGCCATACAAGCATGTGAGTAAAAAGACAAAGTTTTGGCCACGTCTTTGGTAGTAACACGGTGTATGAACATAGCGTTGCATGTGGCCGTTGATCCGGCGGTCGGGTGAGTCTGTGGTTAGTCTGCAGCGTATGTATTCTGATCACCCACGCGTCACATGATTCCTCCCTGAGACTGTGCGAGCGCTCGAGATGGGCTTCTGATGCGGCGGGGCCGAGCATCACTTCCTTCAAACTGAGAAGCTACGGACGTTTACATAAATCCCAGAGTGAGGCAATCACCAGAAGACCAGAACCGAAACCACGTGAACAAGCAGGAAATCTGAGCAAAGAAAAGAGAATCAGCAATTAATAATTACAGGTTAGGTTCAAGTTTACCGGAAGTGCTGCAGGATGATTGACAACTAAAAAGGTTCAAGATGCCTGTAGAGTCACCTGTTGGAGACCGACTCGATAACACAGCTCACATGTGCAAAAACACACAATGAAGCCAAATCTAAGCCTTAAAAAAATCACCACAATCACTTTTATTGCCCTCAGAACGCGTTTTAGAGACAACGATGTGCGCTTTCCTGCTGAAGGAGGAACCGGAGGGTAAATGTACAACACATGTTTAAAGTCCTTATAAACCCGCAGTATAACAACGTTATAGCGGATATTACTTCCTTCCAACTTTGATCAACACACGAAGAAAGAAACTCACGTAGCCCCACAGAGACGAAAGTAAAAGCAAATCAGAGGCAGAAATTTGTTTTATTAGCGGATTAACTGACTTAAATACAAAAGACAGGAAATAGTCTTGATATAAAAGTGTTTTAACTTGCCTTGAACGGTCGCCGTCATCGCTGCTTCTCCGCTTTAAACAACCTGCCGTGTTTTCCTGCTCGCTATTTATGAGGAAACGCGTCACGTGACCGGCGGCCGCTCTTCCTCCTCGCGAACAGAAAGCGACGATTTCACCCCGAAGCCTCTGAAGAGAAAGTGAACCAGACACCGAGGAGATAAACTTACAACGATGCACCTCTGATGCCACAGAATTAAACTAGAGAATAACGCTGAATTGCAAACTAAGGGGGGGTCGTTGTCTCATTTAGTGTCAAAACACATAACAAAAAATGTATATATATATATACACATATACTAAAAGTCTGCACTAGCGACTCCCAGAGGCTGTGATGGGAATTACAGCTCATCATGCAAATATGTCGGATGGAACAAATACAAGATTTAACAGGGTTAAATGTTCAATCAAATTGCTTAAAATCCTCAATTAATGTTAATAAAATAAAATGAGCAAATGTCGTGTGTGCCAAATAGCTATTCGGCCTGAGGGATGGACAAAATGGAGATTCCTGCGTTTGTGCAAATGAATATGTATAAATGGTATTTCTAAGGTATTTGCTTCTCTAAATAAAAAGAGTCTAAACATTAGAATTCTGCGTTGAGATGTAGTCTGTTGCGCTTCTGGAGTGCAGATCCAGAGGTGGTTTTGACCTCATGAAAGGTCAACACGCTGGCAGTCTGCCAGATGTTTGTCGAGATCTCCCACGTTATACGGTTTGATTTGATAATCACACCAAGTTTTAATATTTTGGTTACAATGCATGTTTTCTTATATAATTTGCAACCGTTTGAATAGTTTTTTGAGGACATTTTTACAGTTTAAATTTTCAATATTTATATCTTCTAAAGTATGTTCGGAATATTAATTTATTTTAGTCATCATTTTCTTTATGTTATTTACTCAACTAGACACCAGCTCCTTCTCTGCATACAACAAATTATGAGGAATTCAGAAGATGCGTTTAACTTCAAAAAGGAACCTTTATTCATAGAAAACTACAATTTACAGTTTCATCATCAGAAACATGCTGAACAGAAAAACAAAGTCGACATGATCAAGAATAAAAATGTAAAACGTTTAAATAACTCACAGCGTGGAAAGAAAGAGCTCCCATTGCCCAGCAATGTTTCCCATCACAGTGAATTTAAACTCTTAAACTCTGCTTCCCACATAAACTGTAATTGACCAACTCCGAGCCAGTTAGTTTAGTTTAATTTTTATACTTTGGCACCAAAGCAACCAGTGTTCTGGTTTAACACCCTGTCCTGGAGGTACGGCGGGTGTTCGTGGAGCAGACCAGGGTGGAGGTCTGCACTGGGGTTCAAAGTGCTTACAATAACTCATCGCACGCCGCAAAGGACTTTGGAATCCAAGACTTCACGCTTTGCACTTAATGCATGATAATGATTCAAAAGTAAAAAGAAACTCAGATTTAAAAACCGGCGGGACCAAATAAAACCTTTGGCTACTGTTTCTACGGGCTTGGTGTGTTGAACTTATGTAGTTGTGCGTTCCTGTGTGTAGTAGTCTCAGCAAAGCCCCCCATCCTTCTGTCGTCCTCTTCACACAATGGGGTAGCTGGCCAGGTTGGCGATGCCGCACAGGTTGCCGCGGTTACGTGCCATCATGACGTAGCCCTTCTGTCCCCAGGCTTTGCCCCAGCTGTCAAAACAAGAGAGAGATGGAGAGAGAGAGAGACGCATCAGAGCCTCCACCCGACGCCCCTCAAGTGGTGATGATGATGATGATGATGATGATGATGTTGTTTCCCTCACCTGTTCTTGACGATCCAGAATTTCTTCCCCTTGGCGGTCACTCCGAAGCCCACGGCCAGCACGGCGTGATTGATGTCGTCCTTGTTGCAGTTGCTGTCGTAGTAGATACCTGCACGCAAGATGGCGAAGAGGACGAGTGAGCGAGGAGAGATCCTGAGCTGCAATTACGATTCAAGAGCAGTCTTGGAAGTCTATAGCGAGGTATTCTTTCAATGCAGCCGCCCATTTCCCTTCTGGTTCAGCTGACTACAATCATTCATCAAAAAGTGCTGTGAGCTGCATGAAATCAGAGCACAGCTGCATTTGTCATTTTGTCAATTTCAACATTGCCTGAGGAATTGTTGGCACACTTCTTGTGAACGCGGTATTATCATCATGTGAGTTCCAGAAAGGTTCTTCAAAAAGGAAGTATTGCGAAAAGTATTAAGTGTTTAATACACATTCACTTTCGTAACATGTCAGAAAACACCCAAGTTCACACGTCTGTCTTCTACCTTTCCTCGTTCAGAGAGCCCAAGGTGCACATTTAATAACATCATTTAATTTAGAAAGATCTACCTTCATGTCAGTACATATGGATACGTATTAGTTGAGCCTCCTGGACATCTCTTTTCGTCTCCACTACCTGATACCACAAGAAGAAGCAGAGGATTCCCCGTGAGCTCCTCACTGACCTCTCTGGTAGAACTGGAAGGTGCCGAGTCCGGCGTCGATGCCCACAGAGACGGGCCCCACTTTGCTCAGAGCCTGAGCCAGCTTCTGCTCGCTGCCCACCGGGATCTCCTTGAAGCCTTTGCACTGCACGGCCATGCCCGATGAGTTGTAGCGGCACGGCTGGTCCTGAGGGACAAAGGCGGGGAGGAAACATCCTGTTACCGACCTAAATAGCAACGCTTCATATGTAGGAGTGATAAAAAAAAAAAAACAGACACCTGATGTGATGATGATGTTCCATCAGGAAGATTCTATCTAATCATTTGAAACCATTCAAAGCGAAACATTGAATAACTCGATAACAACAATTGTCAGTTGTCGTGTGACACATGCACAGCTGACGTGGCTTCGCGTGCCTGATCACGGCCTCGTGAGCGTCAGTGGTGTCCCAACAATGGGCGGCATGCAAATTCTTTACGAGAAGTCGTACTTCCTCCTCCGTCCAAAAGTTCATCTAAGAGGAATCAGTCGTTGGTCTTTAGGACGGTGTGAGTTTCTGCAAAATATTTTCTGAGAAGCAACATCCCCTCATTCAAATATCGCTGCTGATTTAAAGGTCAAAGTGGAATAAAGGGTTGATTTTGCTTTTATTGACACCAGATTGGGTGGAGTGTGACAACCTCAAAGAGCAGAACAACCATCGCTTTGTGCCTTTAGCGCGTGCGTTGTGGTAAACCAGCGGTTTCTGCAAAACGTGCAAGCTGTTCAAGTTAGTTTTTTTTGCTGTTGAGAGTGTATTGTTGTTAGTGAACATCCAAAATGCCTTTTCATCAATATTGTTTTCGGCACATATTTGTGTTAAATCATTTTGTGTCTAATATTGTAAAATTTGAACACTATGCTTTTATGTTCAATATGAAGGTAGCTAGCGACCACTTAGCTTAGCTTAGCATAAAGACTGGAAACAGGTGGGAACAGCTAGCCGGTCTCTGTCCGTATTCCTTTGTACACTTCACATCTAGTATTTATTTTAAAAAACACGGATATTTTGAGCTTTAGAGGTGTTGGCTGCTGATTTTTAGGTGCTGGTGTGGCTATAAGACAGGAAACATTTCCCTGTTTTTGCTTATCAGCATTGTACACTATTGCAAAACACATAATACAAATAAAAGAAGTTTGTTTCTCACATGCTTGATACTGCTGGACTCTTTTTTACGTCCTGTCAAAGCATCATGGGAACTACAGTTCAAAAACTCACAGCAGGATTATCCTTCAAGTAAAAGTAAGACACATCACACATCCGACCAGATGAAGCTTTTCAGTGCGGCACAGGTGTCTCAACTCGTGTGCGCTGAGGCCAAAGCGCGTGAGAGTGCGAACAGCCTGCGACTGGTTCTACTCGTGTGTTGTGGTCTCGGAACAGGATGTCACACAATAATCACACGTAACACATTACAGGGAAGAGAAATGTGGTCGACCACCTGAACGTTTGTCACACTTTCACAAACCGAGGGGAGTATCGTTACAAACGATACTCCCGCACTTGTGCACGTGTGCGGCCTTCAGGGCTCTCCTTACCTCGCCGACGTACGGGTAGGCCGCCTCCGAGTCGATGCCGCCGTTGTCCTGGACGTACTTGAAGGCGGTGGTCATGTACCCTCCTCCGCAGCCGCTGTTCTCCGTGACGCAGTCCACCAGGTTCTGAGGACTGAGGTCCACCAGCTTCCCCGTAGCCTTGGCCAACTGGCCCTCGAGGGCCCCGGCGGAGCTGAAGGCCCAGCAGGAGCCACAGGAGCCCTGTCAGGAGTTAGCAGGGGGCAGGAGAGCGAGGTGGTTTTAGTGTGATGATCCGACATGCAAACAGGTCCCTGTTAGAGGCTTTATTACAGCGAGGGGTGAGAAGAAATGTGCACATTCAAACAAACCAGATATCAAACCGGGAGTCAGTCGTCACGCTTCCCCAAGGAAGAAAGCTGCAGACGTGTTAGTTGCGCAAAGAGGGAAGTCAGACTGCTGCGTCATTCAAGGGAAATAGCAAGCGGCTCAATAATTCCTGTTCTGCGATTTGAAAGCCGTCCACCAGAGGGCGACGACGTCCTAATTCCTAAAACAATCTGACTTTCATATCTTTGAAATATTTTGCATTGTTGTCTGTTTTTATTCTGCACACCGTTTGATATCATCAAATGTGTATAATACGATCGTTAAGCTAAATGTAATCAGGAATCAAGTATAAATAAAGGAACGCTTTAACTAAAGATGTCATCTTCTTTCTGTTCTTGTTTAGGCTAAAACAAAGTCCTGGACAAGTGAAGCTTAATTTGGGGTAAATAAATATACAACAAATTAAGTAGGTATTTGTGGGAAAAAATTGGCAAAATTTCACAAGTCAATAAAACAAAATTAAACTATAAACTAAAACAGCATTAATTAAGCAATCAATTCAGAAAACTGTGTAAATATGTAACATCACTCACTCATTGGATAACGTCCCATCGTTCTGCTGCTACCTGCCTTCTCGTTCAAATATGTTGAACATATTTCAGAGCATCTACTTCCTGATCCGCGCAAGCGTTGCTTACATAAATACAGCCGTCTTAGCCGCTCGAAATGATTAATTACATGTAATAACCAAACCGGTTTGTGTGTTTCCAACGTCCATTAAAAGTGAGAACAGATTGTGTTTCACTCTCTGGAGCATGAATTGAACAAGGTACAATATTTCCACATACTCTGAATTGTGAATCTATGCTGCTGCATTTATTTATTCACGCCAGTTGCGATGTTACTTTATCATTAAACACAAGTACCATTTTTTTTTAACATTCACAAAGTAGTCTTATAGACAAAACCTGATTCATAATTGTTGACATTCAAAGTCAAGTCAAGTCAAGTCATTTCATTTTGTATAGCCCATAATCGCAAATTACAAATTTGCCTCAGAGGGCTTTACAGTCTGTACACATACCAAAGCATCCCTTAGTTTGCAGCAACGCACACTAACAACCTCTTATTGCTGCCGATGGGTCGTTTCTTTGAATGTTTTACGTTATAACGGCCACGAGACATTTTCCTCAGCTTTTCTCAAATGTATTAACCAAAATAACTTGTACATTCAAATAGCTTATTTCAGTTAATGAGAAAACTATGAATATTACAGGTATACAAATACAAATACTTCATGAACTGCAACATGAATTGTTCAGTGCAGTCTCGTGTCCTTCAGTGCTCACTGAAGTGAAACTATTGATCTTGTGATATCATCTCTTGATCATGTTGGAATTTTTTGTGACACAATCTCTGTCCTGACTAGCATCAACTGACTAGCATCAACTGACTACCCTGACTAGCATCAACTGACTAGCATCAACTGACTAGCCTGATTAGGATCAATTGACTAGCCTTATTAGCATCAACTGACTAGCCTTATTAGCATCAACTGACTGGCATCACCTGACTAGCATCACCTGACTAGCATCCTGACTGACTGTTTTTTCTTCACCCATGAGCTCTCTCTTTTTATTTGACAAGAACGAATTTAAGATGATGACAATTACTACAAATGAAAAACAAATCCTGACCCTAAAGTATTGTTTTATTGCGTTTATGTGCATGTGATGACCGAGACGTGTGCTGGGTGACCTCTGACCTGGTTTTTCACCGGAGTCACCATGCCCTTCTTGCGGTAGTCGATGGATTTGGGCAGCGCGGACACACCGTCGTCCAGATCCATGGGGAAGCGGCGCTCGCTGTCCGGCACCAGCAGGCCGGTCATCTTCTCGGTCACTTCCTCCGAAGTCTACGTGAGCGGAGACACAGTCAAAGCTTTACGGCGTCTGGGTTTTAGGAAAGTCTCCCACGCTCTCGTTCAGAAAAGAGAAGTTCACGAGGAAATTAGTAGATAAAATGCACGGAAGAGGAGAGATCCGGAGCTGCAATTATGATTCAAAAGCAGTCTTGAAAGTCTATAGTGAGGTATTCTTTCAATTCAGGCGTCCATTTCCCTTCTGGTTCAGCTGACTACAATCATTCATCAAAAAGTGCTGTGAGCTGCATGAAATCAGAGCACAGCTGCATTTGTCATTGACTTTCAACATCCCTGAGGAATTGTTGACACACTTCTTGTGAACGCGGTATTATCATCATGTGAGTTCCAGAAAGGTCCTTCGAAAAGGAAGTAATGCGAAAAGTATTAAGCGTCTAATACACATTCACTTTCGTAACATGTCAGAAAACACCCAAGTTCACACGTCTGTTTTTTTTTTACTGCTGTCTTCTACCTTTCCTCTTTCAGAGAACCCAATGTGCACATTTAATAACATCATTTCATTTAGAAAGGTCTGCCTTCACAAGGAAATTCTTGATAGAAAGAAAGATGAAGGTTACAGGTCGTCGCAGCGCCCAAAGGTCAAAAAGTCACACAAAATGCAAAAGAGTAGGTTAAAAGCAGAAATAAAGGAACTGGTTGTTATTTATATGAAGAAATCATTTACATAATATCCTCTTAGTTATTATTATCATCAGAATTCCTCTGTGCTTTAATCAGAATGCAAGCCAAGAGATCACCAGCAGAAGAAGAACACACACCATCTGGTCCTTTTTCTGTCGTTGCACACTACAAGTACGAGACGAAAGTGGAAAAGCATCTTTTATCTTCCCGCCACCTGTTTCTACAAAAGCATTTACATGTTCTTCTCACCATTAAATGAGCCTGTGTGTTTTTTTTTACGCATATTGCTTTCTACCCGTGTGCGAGTCACGACCCGCTGTGACACACGTACACGTCAGTGCCTGCAGCGGATCCAAGGACACGAACCCACAAAAAAAACTTTGCTCATTTCCAGAAGTAAATTAAAACAATTGTTTGTATCAATACATCCTGAGGGATGACAGACGGTATTTCTTTACTTCATTTACCTGAGACGGCCTCCTGGTGTTTGCACCACAGCAGCTGTGCTGAGCCAGTGATAATATTGTAACTGCAACGTGATTAAACCAAAACTGTGTCCTTAAATTTTGCGGAAAGAAGCAAGACAAATGTTTCTGTCGGTAGCATTTAGCTGTCAGTTAATGTTCATGTTCTCTGTAGACGGTAAATTAGATTTTTCACGTGGATGACATGAGAAGGTGAGTGGGAGGAGCCGGAAATAGACTTCTGAGAGGATAAATGCGAAAAACCACATTGGGGATTCAAAGAGCAGAACGGAAGACAGAAAAGGAGCAAGCCATCCGTCTGTCGTCTTCCCCCTTTTGGCACCTAGTAGCAAGAGGCAAATAGCAGAAACGTGGCCTCCAGCACGCGGGAGAGCCTCAGACTCACCATGTCGCCCAGGTGGTTCATGCCCAGCGAGTAGGAGTGGATGCCCAGCGCCGCCTCCTGGTTGTGAGCTTCGATCATGAGCATGTTCTTCTCCCAGATGGCCCTGCGAATGCCCTCTTCATCCTGAGACAAGCAAACGAGACAATGCAATAAAAGTCTGCATTTGTTGTAGAGATAAAAGCTTTAGAGCACCAAGTATTTTCAACACATGCAGAGATTCTTTATCCGGATGTTTTGATTTCCTTCCTCTCTTTCTGTTTTAAGACCTGACGGCTCGGGGAAATTAATCTGGGCAAATAAAAGTTTAATAAGCAAACAAAGGAGGCTTGCCTGTGTTGCAGCGCCATTACGTTAATGAGGTCATTTTAACCAGCACACGTTCACACAGCGATCTCTCCCTCCAACTTAGGCAGCATTATAACTGCAGGACGTGTTGCTGTATCCATTATTTGTGTGTCTTTCATGTGCTGAGGAGACTGTTTGGAAGTGAGATACAGAGGATTGTTTGGTCGGTGACCTAAAAAACATCCTTGTATTGGTGGTCTTGACAACCATTAGCATAACTATAATGATTATTTTTATCTTGATCCATTTCAGTAATGGAAAATGCAAATGATGCACGGAGACTTTGGTTCTATTTTAGTGCTGTCAGTTCAAGGAGGGGTTGAATGAGAGGAACCGTTGAAGAAATACTGATGGAAATCACAGCGAGAGAGACAGAGAGAACAATACAGCACACAATGACCACATTAACACACACATTCTAATAAATGCAAGCATGTGAACACAGATAGGGATGTAAACAATACAAGAAGCACACAAACTGTACATGAATCCAGGCACAAGCAGCACTGTAGATTAAATCCACACGCTCCACAGCTGTGGAGGGGTGACCTCTAGCCAGAGGTGAAGAGGCAGATGTGAGACGTGAGTCGGTGGTCGGCGTGGATTTAACGCCAACTAAGCCAAGTTTTGTCTATATATAATATAATATAATGTCTATATATACATATATATATATATATATATATATATATATATATATATATATATATATATATATATATATATATGTATGTCTTATATATATATAAGTATGTCTGGGAATGTTAATATATTGAGTCTCCTCACTGAATATAAAAATGACAGTTAACATCAAGTGAAAACTAATTTCTGTATGGAAGAATACGGTTAATAATCCTGATTAGAATCTTTGTTTGCTTGTTTAAACCTAATCAGAATCCACTCAAACTACAAAATGTCAGCTGGATAGAAATTGCTCAACAGCCTCGTGGAAATGAACTCGCCTGAATCACTGGTTGAGGACGAGAGAGACAAAGCGACTGTGAATGTCCTGCTTTACTTTTGCTTCTCTGGTCTCTGTCTGCATCGGCCTTTTTTTACCTCGGGCCAAAACCAGGAAGTAGAGCAACCAGTGTTTTAATCTTATTTCTTATCTTATCCTTCTTATTTCCAGTCAACATTGATTTCCCTCAGCGCAGAGCCTATTTGATTCCTTAAATGACGCTGACCTGTAGAGGAGAAGTAGCTGCAGTGTCTTGAGGACAACGTCTGCACGTCTCGTCAGCCCCGAGTCGTGTTTTAACATCGAGGAGGTTTCGCTTGAATTGTTTGAAATTAATGACGTGGCATCGTCACCAAACTCAAACCAGACTGAGTACCAAGAGAGCTGCTTTCTGCTCTGATATCACCATAGCAACTAAAACCTGAACCAACATTTGCAGGCTTATATTTAGACACTCATCCGGTTAAGATTCCAGTTGGATCATTGCATTGCATAGTTCTGTAAATCTAAATCATCAGGATGCAGAGCCTGGTTTCTGGCTTCAGACTCCTGCACTCGGTATGCTTGGCGTCTTGGCGTCTTGCACATCTGAATCACCTGTGCAAGACGCCAAGGGAAGTTATCCTGCCATCAATTGTGCAACAAAGTTATGGGAGAAACAAATTAGTAGTAGACCTCAAGCAACGACGAGCCGTCTGAATTATTTCCGGTGAAAAAATAAAGTCCCAGGGTCAAAACTAAAAGTATTTCGGTGTTGCCTCAACAGAGCTGCAGCGGTATCGTCATTGCAGGTTTTGCAACTTCATTGGGAAGTTTCTTTATCTCATTTTACGATCAGACTTTGGGCTCTTATTAAAATATGAAGAGTCAACTCTGAGGAGGCTTGCAGCATTTGTTTACGATGTTTTCTTTTCACTGTTGAGTATCAAATTGTGCAACGTCTTCTTCAATGGAGAAGATCAACAGCATTGCCGTTACGGAGGGGAACCTCGGAGGAGGTGGTGGTTTAAGATGCTGTAGTTTGTTTACGATGTAAAAGCCTTTTTTTATCTGGTTTTAAGCCTCACATGCGAGCTTGCAGAAGGGCAGAGACTTACCAGGCCGTTGTATTCCTTCTGGTTGGTGATCTTCCAATCTTCCCATTGGGCGTCCAGAGAGACCTGATCCAGGTGGCTCAGGGCCGAGGCCGCCAGCAGCAACATGCACACGCACCGCAGCATTCTGGGGGAACGACGAGGGAAAATCCTCATGTTACACGGGCAGCAAAGGTTTCGCTGTCACGCGACATTCAACTCGTGTGCCGCCAGAGACAAAGGGCGTGATGCTTCTGCTGCCGCGTTGGAGAAAACACATCCTCTCCAAAGGTCACTGGCTGACAACAGACAACTTTATTTCCCTTTTACGTTTGTTTTGGTCACAAGCTTCAACTTGAAAATGTTGAATGTTGTCAAGCAGCTTCATAGCAGACAGACAAGTAACACACAGCAGAGTACGACTCAAGTGAGCGAATCATTAGTTTCTTTGGTTTGCTTTTTCAACTCCAGCTCCTCCCTATTCCTCTTTTGTTTTTTTACATCCTGCCTCCAGTCGGCTGCGTTCCAGTAAATGCCACCAACCTGTTGGTGTTTTAACAAACCAAACCCATCTTTGTGACTGTCTTCAGTCTGGCTTCACTCTACTGGGTGATTGGACGGTACTACCATTATTTAAATGGTCGGGTTTGATGATCTATTTAAATCATTTACAGTTAATCTGGAATGACTATCATCAGAGAATCTCCCCATGAAGGTTTACTGGCCCTTTAAAAATCACTTTAAGCTGGTTTCATTTTAGTGCGAGACAACACGGATCCCTTCACACGTTAAACTTGCCCTGTTCAACAGAAGGAATGCACCAAACTCAAAGTGAAACAAGTAGAATGTACCTTGAGTCCGAAGGTGGTTTTGGTGAAGTTTTCCCGAGTGCGGCACCGTGTTCCTCTACAGCCAAACTACGTCCCTGTGTGCGTTTATATGGGCTGGATTTTGAGGAAGTGCAATGGCAGCTCCAGCTCAGGGGAGGAGTTTCTTTTCTTCTTTTTCCTTTTCCTGGCAGGGGAATTACATCTGGTTTCACTCAAATAGAAGATCCCTTCAACAGATGATGTCAGGTGTCGGATTACGCAGCGGCGTCTGAAAACTCCCAGCTGCATTCTGGGACACGGCTTGAGAAAGGAGCAAAGATGGTGTCCCGAACCACATATTTTCCCTTCTTTTGAAAACCCCAAAACATCCCTTTATTCATCAGACCATTGTGGAATGTGGACATGTGCTTAGTTCTGCGGGAATAAAACGAAATGAAAGAGAGTGAATCGACAACACAAAGTCGACTGTTTTTCAGGGTTTTTCCACAGGAGAGAAGTTTGTACCATGTTGAGTTGTGTCACACTGTTCCTCTACAAGAGGACACTGGGGAGGTCGATTTAAAGCCTGCAGTTTATTTGCTAGTAGCATGACACTGTATGAAATAGTATTTCCATTTGATGCTACATAATCATTTTTCTACATCTCAGAGGGATCCACTTAAATTTTATAAGCCCGGATTTCGATACCTTCATTTTGAAAAGGCTTTTTAATTTTTAAGACAAATCCCTCTTGTATCCTTAGCTGAAACCTCCACATTGACACCAAACGGGCCCCTGAATCTTACTGAAAAAACGTGATTCACACAGAAATGCCCTTCACACGTGTTGCGTATTTAGAAAGAAGAGCAGATGTTTTGACATCAGTAATGTATAAACGACATGATCCCAAGTGCTTCTTCAAATAAACTTCCCACGATTCTTCCCATTATTTTTCTGCTGTGTCGCTTTGTTCTCGGTCCACTTCCTCAAGCCGTTAGTCAACAGTTTAACGTGTCTGCGGGTATATATGAACATGTCGTGTGACTCCTATAGTCACACAGTAGTCTAGCACACGCAGTCACTTGTCTAAATATAAGAAGGTCCCGTGTACCTCATATGTCCGATGAGACAGGGCTGCAGCAGATTGCTCATACGTGTCGTAACGTCTGTTCGGATGGAGGGGATTCAGTTCTAGTGCTGATTATGTTTTTGCTACTAAAGCTGCTTTGATAACGAGGAGCCCTGAGGTGCTTTTTTGTGCTCATTAACAGTATGATGTGTTCTCAGTTTGGCTGACCTCATTATGTTGCTGTGTGAAGTCAGATGAACGCTGTACTTTACGGACTAATCGTCACTAGTCTGGGAGTGATGGGCTTTGGGGGGCATTGTGTCAACATTTTAGTCCAGCTTTGAGTTCCTCCGGCAGGAGTCACGTGTGCTTAAATCCACCATCTGAGTGAGAGAGCACCTGTCTGATCTCTCAATCTGCTGCAGCAAACTCAATTGTATTTTGGGTGACGAGTGATGAATGCATGACCTCGTTTGCGTGAAATACATTTTTCCCCAAAAAACATCCAGTACCCGTTTTATACGACCGTTAATCAACACACAGCCGAGAGGGTGTTTTCTTAGCAGCGGCTCCTCTGCAGCCAGTTTGGCTAACAACTATCAGCTAACAGCTAACAGATGCAGACTGCATCCGCGCATCAGCAAACTGCATAACATTTCAGGCGTCCAGTTGTGGTCGATGCTCATGGACCTCTCCGGGTTCTGCTGAACGACACCTTTTTTAATTCACATGTTGCTGTCTGGTTGTTTCTGCATCGACTCCTCAATCACCACTTTACCACCGAGGAGAACACAACTGAGTGCGTCATCGCCACCCATCCGCCACTCCCGGCCAGAGAAAACGTTTGGCTAACATCTAAGGGCTAACATCTGGCCAGATGTGGTTTGTGTGCAATCAATCAATCAATACATCGGCGCTCGCTGCACCTTTTTGGTTCAATCATTTTCCCTCCAAAATGTATACAATCTCTCGTATATGTAAAAGTGATGACACACCTAAAAAGAAAAGACCAAAAAACAACAAAAGCTCGTAAATGCCCCCAACAACTCGAATGTATGAGTCATATAGTCACATCTTTTGCGTTAGCTGCTTCAGCGCCCCTCAAGGTCATCGGGCCTCTCTGCTGCCGCGCTCCTTCTTCTTCTTCTTCCTCGGTTAAGATCTCCGGTGTGTTAAGCGCACGACAGCCAAGCTGCTGCCGCCTCCTCATAACTCGCACTTCACCATCTGATCGATAGATCAGAGTGCATTTGAGCTCCTTTAAGACTCTTCCTCCAGGTTCCTCCATGGCCACTTTAGGTAATGAGACTCGCGGACGATAGTGTCACAATTGATCCATCATCGAGGCGCCCAGCCCCCCTCTCAGCGCCGAGGGAAGCGGTAGCAGGTCAGGACCTGCGTGTAAATGTATGGGGGGGGGATGGCAGGGTGGATGATGAAGGTGGCTGCAGGCGGAGATAGATTTATAATCCAATACTCCTGACTAAGATGCTTACCGAGCGGCCAGTTTTTATCTGCACTGTTTAACATCTCTGTGTGGAGAATACATTTCTATGATCCAAATGCTCTGATGTGTGCAGCCGTTTGTCTACGAGCTGTGATTGATTTTCTACTCAGAAGACCTCACCGACTGACTAGTTATTTCTCCATGATTCGGATTATGACAATTTTCTAAATTTGAATTTCAAATTCAACATTAAACTACGAGTGGCATTTTTCGATCAAGACACGTCAGCTATGCCGTCGTTATTCCGGTCCTTTGGACAAGCCCAAAAATAAATACATGGAGAAAAACACATTTTGCAAAACTTGCTAAAACAGGAGCGTAACGGGAGCAGCATGCAGTTTGAAAAGAAGGGAAATTTTATCATTTATTAGACAGAGCTGTAAGAGTTAAATAAAGGGGGTGTTTTTCGTGGGGAGTTTTAACGGAAATGTTAGTGGAATATTCTGTGAGCCATGCAAACAGTTGAGGGGGGCTATTGTTTTTTCTGAATATGGGCAAAAAAACAACGTATCGTGGCCATGTAAAGCACGTGCACACTGAGAGGAAATCTGAGCCTAATTCCCCGCTCCCTCGCCTCTGTGAGGCCGCATCTGTTTCCTATTTGGACGAACCTCGACCACGAACTTGGAAACAGCTCAGCTCCCAGGATCCTCTTCTCCCGTCATGTGATCAACCCGCTGACTCAGCCCATCACGGGACGCATTGCTATCACACAACCAAGTTGGTCCTGTAATAGCAAGAAGTAATCTTGCATCACTGCCGAAAAAAAACACGACATCCCATTTTCTACATGCAGCCCGATCCACTACAGTCCCTCTGGTACAGATTACGCAACAAGAAGGCTGATGACATGAATTATGTTTGAGCATTAAAAAACATCATTCAGTTTCTTCTCGCCTGCCAAGCTACTGAGAGGCTCAATCCTGATCTGAACTGTGTGCACGTTTGACTGACCAGTTTAGGGATTAAAGCCTGCAGACACCAGAGAGGTTTTACGGGCTCGTTTTGATTCCGACAGATTAGACCGTTTTGTCTTTTTCATTCGGAGCTCAGATCTTTTCTCGAGGGTAAATTAGGAAGGTTTTTCTGGTAAGTTGTTGTTGTTTCCAATTATTGTTGTTTTTTGGCCTTGAATTTAATGAATCAATACTGCCCACTCGTGGAGAAAATAAGCCCAACCTGTTGCTTTAAATCAATTGGTCATCAAAGTAATTGCCATGCTGCCAGTGAAGTCAAATTTAAAAGCAGAGAAATTGACGCAGAGGCGCCCAACCAAGTGTCAATGCGCTGGGATGAGAACGTGTTGTTTAACATGTTAAACTATCGACATAATTTGTGAGCTTTGGAGGTGCTGATTTTTGTACAATTTCAACCTTCCAGTCATCGTGCTAAGACAAGCTAATTGACCATTTAACATACATAACATATTCGACAAATTGGAGAGGCAAACTGATCATTTAACTCCTTCCAAGGAGGCAAATATTTTTCCCAAAATGCAGAATCTTCAGCAGAAAATTACAAAAATGCTCATATTTTCTTTGAAAAATGTCTAGCATTGACAAAATAGTGTAAATGAAGCCAATATATGTTTGCTGTGCTCCATTGATTGATGGTTTGTGAAGAAGATGTTTGGTCGCCCCCCCGGGAGGCCCAGCAGGTCCAGAGCAGGTGAAGGTTGGATTGAAGCGGCTTGGATTAATAAAAGAACAACAGCTTAAAAAAGTGACATCTGTTTGACCTCTCCCCACTTTAACTATGCCTTCAGCCTTCAATCCAAACCAGATTATTCCAGAAGAGAATTGTTTGTCCTGTCCTGCGGTGGGTTCATAAGAGAGCACCAGGTTTAGATTCTTGCATTCATCCACGCAGATTGGATCAACTTTGAACCTTTTGATTCTAAACGTAGACTGAAAAGATCATTTAATATCTATTCAGATCACAAATGAATAAAAAAAAGTAATGCTGTTATTGAACCCAATGATTTGAGAGATTCAATTCCAAAGACTGTGACCTGATTTTCGTCAGCGCTGCCTCCGGGTGAATCCCGATGCCTCGCTGTTCAGCACAGATTAAACTAAGTATTTGCATAATGGGGGGTTAAAAGGGTTAAGAGAACTCTGCAAGAACGTAAAGTGAGGTTGAACTAACCAGACAGTGTTCAGCAGGTTCATTAGAGGCAGTGGAATGAGCCTTGAGGACAACAAAGTCCCGGCGGGACAAAACAACAGAACAAAGCCAACGGAGAGCCGTGCGCCGAGCGTCTCATCTCTGAATCACAGGCGTGTCCTCTGAGCTTTGGTTAGTGAAGGTTGTTTAGATTAGCTGTTGTTAAGTTAAGTTACTTTGGTTCCAATCTCGTAGACCTTCAGTTATTGATCTGATCTCTATTCAACCAGTGTTTCTGGGTTCCCTGTGTAGCCATTGTTTTACTGTCCGACCAGCGGCTTGAGAATTACAAGCCACAGAAAGAAAGAAAATTGAACTTCCAATGTTTGTTAACTCAGGTCTTTAGTTTACTTACACTGGTTACATAAAAAAATAAACTATGGTAAAATAAGTGGCAATTGACATGGTTTCTCCCTTTAACATTGGGTTTGCATGCTCCCCAGAGGAT